TTTAATTTTAATTTGCAAATTTTAAAAAATTCACGTATTAATTTTGGGTGCTTAATTTCGAAATGTTACGTACGATATTTGAGAGCAACAGAGTTGCAACGTCACAATTACAAGATAAAAGCAAAGACGATAAAAAATGATTGAAACTGTAAAGCCTGGATATTCTCATGCCAAAAAATTATCTTTTACAGTTATTTTTATCCGAGATAATAATAGGAAAAAGCATTGATGAATTATATAACTTTGCCACACAAAAAATACAAAGCATTAGAGCGCTAACTTTTATTGGACCCTGCTACGAAAGAAATTATAGCTATATTACTTCTGCATGGTCTAAAAGTTTTACCAAACAGGCATAAAAAAACTTGTTTTTAAAAGATCTCTATGAATATGTTAGAATCATGTATCAGTTAATTAAAATGTTAATTTTAATTTAATCACTGGAGAGTTTTCAATTGTTCAATTGCTTATTATGAAGCCTTTTAGGGATGCTACCGCACCATTAGCATTCTTCGCAATGATCTATTTTTTTTATAAGTTCTAGTCCAAAGTTTAAACACACTTTCTTTAATTTTTTGCTTTTTGCAATCTCATATGCTTTTAAGCTTAGCATTACGCAACAAAAAAATATTTTAACAGCATTAGTGTCATGTTAATTATACTATTTAATTTTTAATAAATTTATTATTTACTGTATTTCTTTGTTTGTTAACAAATTACTCCCCTACATAGAAATTATTTTTTATTCAAAAATTCTTTAAAGTCGCGAAATTTTTTAGAATCGCAAACTCAAACCATTTTTTTTGAATAAAAGACGTTTGAATTATCGTTTTGATAGTTTTGCCCATAAGCGTATTATAGTTGTCTCATAAACATTATTTTTAGTGCTCCAACTAGATTTAGGTATTAGTTCCTGAAATTTTGTTTGTTGGGTTTGTTTTGCGGGAGCTGATCAAAAATTTTTATTTGCTTCTAGGAAAAAATTTGGCGTATTCTTATTGGTTGTTGAATGATGAACCTCAAACGTTTTGTTTTGTTAAACCCTTTTTGCGTTAGGAATTGGTAAAGTTTTTCTCTGAACTATCGAAAATTGACTTGGGTTGATGATTTTTAGGAATTGAGCAAATAGAGTTTAATTTGACATTCAATTTTTTCTTAACTCGCAGCCTAACTGAATTTAGAAATTGAATTTTCACAGATTCACGTTAGATGCACGTACTCATGTACAAAATTGGTCAAATGACCGAATTTTGGTCTTGTTTGGTTTTGTAACGCAATTCTTTCCTACAAGGTTTTGCTTAAAGTTTTATTTGTAAAAAGTCGATTACTTTACTGACAATGGAGCCAGAAGAAAAGAAGAAACTTAAGTTTCTCGATAAAGAACTTCGTTTGCTCACCGATGTGATAATCCAGTATGAGCATCATCTGGTGTACGTCCGCGAAGGCGAGTTTCTGAAGGATGCTGTATGTTCCGCCAGTCGAACAATTTTTTAAAGTTTTAAACCTTGTTGTTATGTTGCTTTCAATTATCGTTATTTCTTCTCAGAATTTCTTAAATCGTACATTTTCTTTTTTATAGGGTCTCACATGCTTTGCATTAATGACACTTATGAAAGAATTGCCAACACAGGAGTTAGTCCAAGTGCCGAACAGCGGCGCCGTTACGTTAAGCATCGGCAAGTTAAACAATATCATTAAGTGTTTGGCAAAGAACACCGGTGAAAGGTCTCAACAGTTATTTGACAGCCTCAAGAGTTTGTTACGGATGGACGCTGGATGCCAGATTCAATTGCCTAACGGAAAAGTGTTGAGTATTTTCGGTCCAACCAAGGATTACAAATGCCCAGAAACGTGGTTGCAATCCGTGGTACGGCAGGCCAACGCGCTCGTCCGTTATACACAGAGCGATTTAGGGTTCAAGGTAATAATGAGTTGTATTATGAGCTTGTTGTGCATCCCTGCCGACCTAATCAATTTCATTGAATCCAGTCATCGCACATACTCGCAATTGCATTATTAATATTTATGGTATCCTGGTCGATCGCCGATATGTGGGAGGTTAAAGACGAATGCAGGAACATGCAAGACCTGACTGAGACCGACAAGCGCGAGTACCTTGAATTCCTTAACAATATGGATGCGATTTTAACCGAAATTTGCAACGAGCTGAACTCTGGATGTCATGCTCGTCTTGACGGTGAGCGAAAAAATTTTTGTCCTCGTACTATTGTTAATTGTTTCGATTTCTAATATCTGTTTGCAGGACTTTTTCGAACCTTGATTGATGAAACAACAAAACTTATCAGCAAGATTGACATATCGCAAAGGAAAATCGAGGAAAATATCGAAAAATTAAAGAAGAAAGAGTCAAATCGTGCTCTCTTTCGCGATGCACTTTTTGGGTAACTAAAATAAAAGGTTTTTATTTGTCGATTTCATCATATTTTGTTCACATACCGGTGTAAAAATTTTTGACTCAGGGTCAGCGGATTCGCTTTCTTCTTTACATGGAATTATTGGAAAACTATGAGTGTGGCCCAGCGGGCAGCCAGCGTATTAGGCAGCGGAGCGGTTGCTGGTGGTGCGGTCACCATGATGATATCAGTGTACACGCTGACGCAAGCACTAAATAAGCAAGCAGAAGTCTTGAAGAATTTGAAGGAATTGAATACACAACTCTCAAAGATCCAGGATTACCTAGAGAATCTAGAATACGAACCAGCAGATCATGTGGTTATTCTTATCCAATTTGAAGAGTACAAGAGTAGCTTACAAAATTTTCAGATGCGATTTAGATAATGGAAATTTACGTTAATTCAAAATATATTCTGTTTTATTAAACATATTGACTTGTATGACAACATATAGTACGGTATTTCTAAACAATTCACTCTCGTTGTAGTGAAACTCTCGACATAGTGGAAAAATTTCTTAGAATCATTAATAAACTTCAACTCGATATAGTGAAGTTTTATACAATAATTCTCTTGTTTGTATAAGCTAGAATGAAGATTTTTTCGTTTACCCCGATGCCTTCACTACACGTGTGATATGTTCGCAATTATCATGTGACACTGCCTATTCACCATCGCTATCGCGTAATAAAAAAAATGAGTTTTTGAATCACATCTGAAATGTGTGACACTCTAATGTGAGCATTTGAAAGTATATTTAATATGGATTAGGATTGAAATCAAAGGTCAATGGTTAGAATAATAGTTACTATTGTATAAAATTGCCCTTTTCGTTATTAGTAATTTTCATATTTTCATTTTTGCGTCGGATTTGTTTGTCAGAAAAAATGCATGCGCAAAGATCATAATAAAATACTGACGCTAATATACATGCATGTAACGATAGTAAGAATCAAAACATTGTTATTGGTTGTGTTTTTGATTCAGACGTGGCTCTTTTATCTTATAATAGAAATAAATAATACATGTATGTATTATCGATACATGTATAAGAAAATTTTTCACTAAATTTTATGACAGTCATTTGTGTGCATAAAAATTAGTGAAGAAAAATCTTAGAAAACCTAATAGTGTCATTATCGTTATCGTTATCGTTATGGTCACAAGAACTTTATTTAGGAAGGGTTAGATGATTGGTAGAAAGTATTCTTGTTTGTAACCTTGTTTCATCTTTTTTAGATAAACTTAATATGTACATGGCCTCATGAAATTTCACTATTGATGGTTTGTTATGCTTAAATTGTAATTACATGTAGATTTTTAATGGCAAGAATCTTCAATTAAGATATTTTGTGCGTAATACATGTAATACTCTAGAATAATAAAAAGTCAATTTTCATAGTTGATATCTATTACGTACTAGCATATATGAGTAACAAAGAATCAATTTCTATTTAATCATTTCATATAAAAAAAGACAATGAATTTTTTGATCATAAAAGTTTTGTCACAAAAAATTCTAAAACTTTTTCATTGGATATTGTCTCAAAGTTTAATTTCAAAATGCTCTCCCAAAGCTTCGCTCTATTTCGGTTTTTTCTCATTTTAATAATATGTAATGAATTTGTTGCCACTTCATTGCCGATTAAAAGAAGGTAAAATATAGGTGGAATCTAATTATGAATTTTTATTCGAGATTAGTCAAACCAAGAACTCTTTATTTTACAAATTTCACATTTTATAGTCCCGCGTATTGTAATTATTGGGAAAATTGCACTGGCTACTCCGAAACAGGAGGGGGCGGAGGCGGCGGAGGTGGCGACGGCGGTGGAAACAGAGGTGGCGAAAATAAGGCTAACGTAGGTCCTTACGGAAATGCTCACGGAATTGATTACGGGCGGTTTACAAGAAATTCTAATGTAATTCAATAATAAATGAAGCTTTTTCTTCTCTTTTTTCTCTGTTCAGAATAGTAAATAGATTATGCATTACATATATGTACATTAAAAAGTGTGTATAATTTATTTATCCATTTTTAAATAAACTCTTTATAGATTTTATTAAAAAATTCGAAATTTTATTTTAAATGAAAGTTAAAAAATAACGTTATATGAAAATATTGGCATCGCATACAAAATGCATGAATCTAGTAAATATACGAATTGCAGCAGCCATCCGACCGCCCATCATTATTCGAATTATAATACCCAAATTTTGTGAACATAAAACATAAAACATAGCACAAAAAGATGATTATTTGTACATTTAGTACATTTTTTAGGGGGTTAAATTAATCATTTGACACTTTCTCTTGAAAAATAATATGAGAGTGTATTTTTACGCGAGCATTCTGCTGGACAAAGTGGATTTTGAAAAATAGCTAAGTATGTTTACTGTAGCAAGTCTACAATCATTTAATGGATCAAAAAATATCATGAAGCTGAGATCTAAATGATGAGAAAAAATCAGGTCAGCCCATGTTACAACAATCAAGCAAGATGAGCTAATAAAAAAGATGATAAAGACCAAATACAGCAAAATATGAAAAAATGAGGTGTTAAGATCAGTATGAGGACTATAAATCAGCTAATGAAGCTAGTGATAAATATATTGCTTAAATTTCAAAATCCTTATTCACAAAAAAATCCCAGATAAAATGGCTGGGATGGAAAAAAATCTTATAATAGCAAAATTATCTAATAACTCATATTACTGCTAGTACTTCTTTTTTAATTATTCTATATTTTTGTTTATTTAGTTTTAAAGTAATACTTACATAAGTAACTACTTATTCTCTTTTATCTTTATCTTTTTGATATAAAACAGCTTCAAGTTTTTAGTCTGAAATATTGATATAAAGATAAAATTTCTTTATAAAATTTAAATAAATTAAAATAGATATAGTTATAAGATATTATTTGATTTATTGAAAAACTTCTTTTTGTTTTATAATTTAAATAAATAATTTTTTATTTCTGAGAAGTTTGAATAGAGAGATAGTGATTTGAGAAAATTCTTTTACAAATTTTCTGTAATATCCAGCTAATTCAAGAAATAATCTGAATTCTTTTATAGTTCTTGATTGAAAAAAATCTTTTATAGTTTATAAATCAGGTAAAATTTCTTCTTCAATTATTACATATTCAAGAAAAGATATTTCTCTTCTGCAAAAGTTATATTTTTTTGACTTGAGTTTTAAATTGGCATTTCAAATTCTGCAAAATATTTTATTAAGATAATTCAAGTTTTCTTTAAAATCTTTGGAAAATATATTCAAGTTATTAATGTATATATTAGTAAAATTCTAGTTATATTCATCTTGTATAGTATTCATAACTTGTTAAAAAAATATTGAGATATTATATAATTCAAAAGATATAATATTAAATTCAAAAAGTTCTTTTCTAAAAATAAAAGCAGTTTTGAATTTATCTTTTTCTTTTATTTGAATTTGTCAGTATTTAGAAATTAAATATATAGATAAAAATTAGTAAGTACAGTAATTAATATAAATATTTGAAATATCAATCTAGTACATAAAATATCATGTAATATTACTAATTTTAAACTAATATATATATAAAATTAGGATTGCTTTGTTTAATAATAAACACAATAATGTAAACATTTTTGGCATTAGATTTTGCATCCATTAACAAAAAAATAAAAAAAAATACCACCTATTTTCAAGAATGAAGCATAAAGAATGATGATAAGTCAGTTTTAGACAAATAATATCCAGAAATCTGCAAAAATTATATGAATAACAGATTTTTTTAAATTTACAATATATGATATAATTAATCAAATTAAAAAATTATCAAGTATTATATCACTTTCCAGATCTGAAAGATTCCTAATTCTCATAGTTAAGCAATATCATGTTCTTAACTGATTGGTACAGATCAATAATATCATTACTGCAACTGAAATAACTGAAAGACTTAAACAAAAAGATTCTAACTTGAAAGTTTCTATTGTATAATTTAATATATCTTAAAAAAAATCTTCAATTTGATGTTTGTCATCTACTATGGATCCTTCTTTTATAGTCCTATCATATTGCAACTTATTTTGAATGGGCACAGAAACATGTCTATTAAAATTGGTTTCATATAATTTTTTCTGATAAAACAACTCTCCAAATATTCAGAAATACTTAGCTAATAAGATATCATTATAGAATATCATGATTATATAAAAGTATAATAAAGCATTTCTATAAGATTCATGCTAAAGTGCTTTTAGTGTACAAGAACCAATTATACTTGTCTTGTTTACTAAAAATTTTAATACTAAAAAAGATCAAGAAATTCTTGAAACAAATCTTTTTTTCCATATTTCTGTAGTAGATTATAAATTGTATTTTCAACAGAATAACTTTCTAATTTATAATACAGATGAAATAATTAATCTTTTTCATTACCATAATGTTTGAATTCCTGATTGGTCTTCTTATTCACCAGATATTAATCTCATCAAGAATTTATAGATCATACTTATAATGGTTGTTATAAATATTCAGAATTTTTAATATAGTGCGTATAATAATGAAAAATTGTTAAAATTGCCTAATAATTTAGATACATCTTCTTTATAACCCATAAAACAAGTTTGATTAAATATTTTACAGAATTATTATCAATTATTATTAATTATTAT